CTTTTTTAAGACCTCGTTAAATAGTTCCATCAATATTGGACTTAAAGATTCTTGTAAGATTTTATATGTTTCTACGGGTAGACCATCTGCACCTGGGGCTTTGTTGTTTTTTTGTTTCTTGATTGCCTCTGAAAGTTCTACGGGTGTAACCTCTTTATTCAACAAATTTTTAAACTCTTCTGGAACTTTTGGTAAATCAGCTGTTTGCAAATATTTTAGAATATCGTCATTATTTTTCCGTTCATCATCTTTGTATAGGTTCTTATAGAACTCATATGCCACTAATTTCTTTCCTTCATTCTGGTATACCATATCACCTTCTACATTATATAATTTACTAATCCTCTTTTTGTTATTGTGTTTCTTTATTTTGTAAGCCAACCATCTCCCTGGTTTATTGGCGTTTTCAAAAAAATTTTGTTTGGTACGTTTTATCTGCTGTCCTAGTTCTTCCTTTTCAGTGATATTCATCTTGTGTTTAATTAGGTCTATCTGTTGTTTCAGATCGCGTCTTTGTGGTTCCTTTTATAAACTTTCCTCAGCTCTACTCAGTTCTTCTTCTAAATTTCTTTGTTGCTGTATCTTAATTTTGTTTTCCCTGGCCATATAAGAAATTGCGACACCTCTCATATAAGCTTTGGCTGTGTCCCATAAATTTTGGCAATTCGTGTCTTCCTTTTTATTTGTCTTAAAAAACAGATCCATTTGTTCTTCCAATTTCAATTTGAATTCTTTATGTTTTAGGATTGCTCTTTTCAGGGTCCATCTCTTTATTCTTTTTTGCCCTTTCCATCTGATTCTAATTGGGTTGTGGTCAGCCCAGAGGTTCGTATTGATTACAATATCCTCCACCTCCAAATTTAAATCTGCTGATACAGCATTCTTTATGTAACTAATTTAACTAGTTTAAGAATAGATTAGATCTTTTTCCCTTTTCTATCTTTGCCATTTGCCCCTGTGATCAAAAGAACTCACAAGGCAAGGAGATGATGCAACATATAAGCAATTCAGTTTTAAAAAGAGAAGCCATCTTGTTGGAATGGTAATTCAAAAATGTTTCAGATATTAGGAGACATCAACCCCAATAATGAAATTCTCTTGGGAGACATTATAAAAATTCTGTAAAATCTTGTTGTGGCTTGTCAATTATTATAATATCACTTCTGCCTGAACATGAAACAGCTGGGTAAGTGGAGAAAGTAAACAAGAGTCTGAGTCATAGGATTAATAATGCTATGACATGTGCATTTTCTAATTTCTCTTCTGGCTGGCATAATTCACTGAGAATCAAAATCACCCAACTAAGAAGCAGCCAGTTATGTAAAAAACAGTACATAAACAAACTTTTTACAGATGTCATAGTTCTGTCAAATGCTCAAACACACCATCTGGCAAGTCCTATCTCTTGACAATCTCTCAGAAATTATTTCCTATTTGGTACCAAATAGGCAATAAATTTAACCTGTGAGGATGTAGATAAGGTGTTTGGAGAAATATAACCTATAACCTCTCAGCTTGAGCTTGATATTTCATGAGTGATGAAAGCTAAGTGGAGTGAATGATTGAATCTAAGAAATAAGTAATATTTTTTCTGAAATTGAAATTTGCTTCAGAGATGATGGACATGAAGAGCCTTTTGTAGAATCCTTGTAACTGTGATCCAATCTAAATATGTTTTTTTTCTTACAAGATAACATCCATTTGGTTTCAGATATACCTGAGTTATACTCTTGTTGTGCAATCATTTAAATTCTGATATGCTATAAGACAAACATGTATTTTCAATGTCTCTACAATATTCAACACAGCTGATGTTTTAGTAGAGTCTTATCATGTCAAACTTGACTCTTGATTTCATGAGCATGTCAACTTACAGGTAGTCCTCAACTTATGACCACAATTGGTACCAAGCAAGGTAGTTGTTAACATGCATTATGTCTGATTTTATGACCTTTTTTGCCACAGTTGTTAAGCAAATCACTGCAGTTGTCAAATGAATCAGGTGATCATTAAGTAAATCTGGTTTTGTCCATTGACTTTGCTTGTCAAAAACCAGCTGGGAAGATGGCAAATGGTGGTTACATAACTGGAGGATGCTGTAACTGTTATAATTACTGACTGATGACTATCTCTAATTCTCAACTGTTATAAGTACATGCCTGTTGCCAAGCACTCCCCGAATTTTGATCATGTGACTATGGCAATGCTACAATGGTTCTAAATGTGAGGATTGGTGGCAAGTTATTTTTTTCAGTGCCATTTTAATTTCAAATGGTCACTAAGTGAATGGTAAATCAAGAGAAGCCATCTTTAATGACCCCTGTGTTTGCTTAATGACCATTACTGTTGTAAGTTGAGGACTATCTCTGCTTCCAGATTACCTCCATTTGAAAAAGGAAATTATTTAATGTGTGATTATGAGGCATGGATCTAAACTGAAATAAACAAACTTCTTGATGAAGAAAGAAGATAGCATGGAAACCATAGAAATTAAAGCGTAAAACTTATAAGATAATCAAATCTCACAAGATTTCAGCATGCTCATTCCAAGATACATTCTCAGTGTATATCACATTAGATTTCAGGCAAGTATACTAAGATCATGTGAGATTTGGGCCTTTAAAATTTTTTAATGTCTGTCTCTCTGTCTTTGTCTCTGTCTCTGTCTCTGTCTCTGTCTCTCTCTCTCTCTCTCTCTCTCTCTCTCTCTCTCTCTCTCTCTCTGTGTGTGTGTGTGTGTGTGTGTGTGTGTGTGTGTGTGAGAGAGAGAGAGAGAGAGAGAGAGAGAGAGAGAGATTGTAAATTGGGGTGTTGTGGATAACATGGCACCCACAGCCTCCACATTGCAGATCCTGGTAATCAAGAGAGAACCTGTTGAGAATTAGAGTCATCAATCAGTAATTTCCTTTCTCATTTAAAAGCAAAAAAGTCAGAAGGAATCTGGTAGCACCTTTTTCAGCTAATGCATTTTATTAAAATTAGTTAATGGGAAAAAGTAGTGTACTAGACTGGTCTCGATGTTTTACCACAATGTTTCATCACCAGCACCACATAGCTGTCCTCTTAAAGTACAATATCTATGAAGCACCAAGAGTTAATAGCAAAGAATTTTTGATCTTAATAAGGAGTCATGTTATTTCTGGGGGAAAAAAAGTCTTTCTGGAAACATGTCTTCTAAAGGCCATCCTTTTAATGGAGTAATGTAGTAATGATTTAGAATCCAGAAAAGGCCCTGCTAGAATTTATTATACCCATACAGAAAGGATTGTGGGAATTATCTCAAAATGTCTAGAGAGAACCTTTTGCCAGTTTCTCTGTAGTAACTGGATGGCATTCTGTACCTACTCAGAGACATTGCCACATGTGTGGAAATTAATTCACCAACCCATATACATTCTTGATGTTTCTGAAAGAATTACACTGAGAAGTGCACATCTTCTTTCCAAAGACCTTTCCTATTGAAATGTGGATGGAATTCCTTTCCATCTCCAAACTGGAAAGCAAATGAGAGAAAAACCTGTCTTGGTGGCAAGTTTAAAGGATTTCACTTGCACTAAGTTTGTATCTTTGTCTCCCTAATTTCCTTTTGCTGTACTGATGTGATAAGACATAGAAAGTTGGTATTGTTCCCAGAGACTGATTAGCTACAGCAATTTTTATAGACATGATGTTTAGTGCTGTTATTTCTCCCACCCATTTTCAGTCCTGGCTTTTAAAACAGATGACAGGATGGAGCCAGGGTAATTCCCAGCATAAAGGACATCCAGTTTCAACTCAACCATGTGATTTCTATAAAACTGCTGAAGGAGTTCTAAAACAGTTTCACAGAAGGCAGATAAACTCTCTGTTTTTATGATCCTGTAATTCCTTAATTTGGGAGGTTAAAGTTAAAAAACACAGAAGCATGAGTGATTGTAGCCCTTTCTTGCATAACACATTCATGTGTAATGAAAAATACTCTGAAGTCAGTCAAGGTATATATAAAATTATTTTCTTCCAAAATAAAGCAAACAAAAACTAAATTCTCTACATTTTAGAACACATTTATACACCTCAGAACGAAATTCTCTTGGCAGTGTAGACACTTTTTCTCAAAGTGCAGAATGGGCAGAGTATATTTACTTGTCAAATATATATAGCTGCCCATTTCACAATTCGTGATTCTAGGCAGCACACAATTCAGACAAAACATTAGGTAAAAACAAAGCCTTAAAACAAATAAAAACAAAAATAAACAAAACCATGGGCGAGCGCATTTAAAGTCTTATGTGCATTACAGGGAGAGCGCATTTAAAATCTTACACGCCTTACGGTCATTTCACAGGCTCCCCATTTCCATGAGATCGCCAAGCCTCCTGACAGAATCAAGTTTTAAAAAATCACTTGGGGCCAATCAGATTCCAGCTGGTACCCAGCCTAGTAGTCCATCTCTCCCTAGCCTAAGGCTGTGAATTTATTATAGTCCAACCGTGTTTCTTCTTCCTAGAATGCCATACTGTCACCCGTCCACTTGTTTGTCTCTTCCAGTAAATTAGTGAGAAGTCTTTCCAATTCTGCTGTCTCCCATCGCTTTTTTTCTTTCTTTCCACCGCCCTGCCCAGTGGCATCTGTGCTAGGGAAAGCAAGCAGCCTCTTGCCAAGCAGGCCCACCCTCACGCATTCAACCCTTCCCAATCAAAAAGCCGGAAACTCGCCCTCGCTGCCTAGGTTGAAGATCCAGCTTCGCCTTTGGAGGAATTCCAAAGCGAGACGCGATTTACGAGAAATCTCCGCGCCCCTCATCCCTTCGGAGGTGCCCCCGGCCAAGAGGAGATCTCTGCCCAAGATTGTCTCTGCCAGGGAAACCAGGCCCTTGGGATACGTAGGCCTCCGCGGCGCCGGCTGACGAATCCCATGCCCCCGGGGCACCTTCGCCCAGCTTCCAGCCCAGAAGCAGCGCCCGGTCGCCGCAGTTTTTGTCCTCTCGGCCTGCCCGCCGAGAGAGAAAGAGAGCCTCTTACCTCCTCTGGAGGCGTCGCGTCGTCTTTGCCATCGCCGTTCACTATTGCCGTGGTCAGCCCGTTCATCTCGTGGCTATCGGGGGTCGAGCCCATGGTTGCTGCGGTAGCTCCTGCGGCGCGGTGCAAAATGAGACAGGAGGAGGCGCGCTTGGGAGCGGAGACACGTGTTAGGAGGTCTTGTGCTTTAGTTGTTACGCAGTTCTCAGGGCCGCCCTCGACCCTGCTTGGGAAAGAAAGAGAGGAAGGAAAGGGAGCGGGGCAAGCGCTGGGTTTCCCCTCCTGATTCGCGGCACCAAGAGGCCGAGGGAACAGCTAGGCGCGGTGCCCAGCTGCTTGATGAATTTGTCCGGACGAGTGACCTCTGGCGGGAGAGATTGTGGTGGGCGCACTCCTCCTTTTCCTGGCAAGGAAAGTGGGAATTGGGCCACGTCAAGAGTTAACACTCCTTGCCAGCCAGTGATGCCTTGACCCTTATGGAAAATAGGGCAGACGAAGATTGCCTTCCTTTGCTGCTCTCCCAAACTGTATCTTTACAGTTTTCAGTAAGCTCTGGGGTTTTCCTTTTCCTATTGTCTTCAAGAGACCAGAGTAAACATTGTGCATCACTAGGAGTTTTTTTCTTTCTTTCCCTGGGGCTGTGGGACACTAAATGCACTATAATAGGGGAATTTATGAATTAACCTGTAGCCTTCTGGATGGTGATTCAAGAAGAAATTGGGCATGTCGACCCAGCTATTGCATTCTGCTTCTTCTCATCTATTGATATCTTTTTGGGTGCCAAGGTATAATTTTTGCACATAACTTTTTATTACAGAATTACTGTAGAAGGTGGTGGGGGATCAGAAGAATTTATTTATTTCATTTGCCAAATTCCTACACAGTCCATTTCACTTAAGTGACTCTGGGTATCGATTCATACTTTTTTCTGCCTTTTGGTCACTCAAAATTGCATTCAGTCTCATTTTTTTAACTAGAGGTCTTCAGTCATGTATGATAGGAAAGAAAAAATCTAGAGAGGATGGCATAGAAAAGCATCTTGTTTTGCTCCCTTCTTTCTGCTGTTTGTGTAGAAACAAATTAGTCAAGAAAAATGAGAGTAACTATGTCTGAGAACTGGCTTCTCTTGGATCTTCCACAATGTTTCTGATCATGTTTGTAGTATGGCCAACCCTTATAATGCACCCCCCCACCTGTCTCTTTCACTCCTATGAAGGTATGATTTAATCTCATAATAAAATAATAGTATATGCTCCATATTGCAATGCTAAATGTTACCAAACATTTTTTCACAAGAGATTCTGATAACCCTCAGAGTTAACAAGAGGTTCCTTTGAACTTTTACCTGCACATTTCAAGTCTACTTACTTGAATTTCAGAAAAAGTTATGTTAGTCACTGGGATCCAGTTTCTCCACGCAATGAGAGAAAAGCTTTCTTCCACTATTGCTTCAAATTTTAGGCGTTATTATTGGCACTTTTAACATGGCAGTCTTAGCCTCTTGTTTAAATTTAAGAATGCATGTTTTTCTCTTCTTAGTGAAGGCCACTTCTTTGGTATGTGAGACCTTGCTTTCTCAGCAACTACTGTACACAATAGAGAGTGTATTCTGAAAGTCCTTCATATACTTGCAAATTTTAAGAAAGATACAAACCCAGCTGGGAAACTAACGTAACCCATAAATTTGCCACTTGTGGAATGTTATCTAGAGCAGTGGTTCTCAACCTTTTTAATGCCGCGACCCCCAACCAGTCGTAAGTCGAGGACTACCCAACCAGTCGTAAGTCGAGGACTACCCAACCGGTCGTAAATCAAGGACTTTCCCTGCCCGGGAGCGCTGCGCATGCGTGGTGCCGCCCCCTGCGCCGGCCGAGGCGTAGCTGGCAAGCGGCAGAGACGGTGCAGGCCGACCACTGGCTGGGCCACCAACTGGCCCAGCCCAAGGGAAGTAAGGCACCCGCCGGGCCCCACGCGCGCTAGCAACCCTCCCTGCGCTCGCCGGCCTCCCACCTCCCATCCCTGGCCCTCTTTTACTTACATTTTTAGTAGTTGCTCAGCAGGGAGCGGTGGAAACTTCCAGACAGCTCGCCTTCGCTGCAAACAACTTGCAGCACTGTTTGCAGAATGGGACTTTTGGCGGGCTCAGCAGGGCAGAGACAGCCTGGACAATTCCTATTGGCTTTTGAAAGCCAATAGAATTAGACTCTATTCAAGAGAATCTATTCTATTGGTTTTCAAAAGCCAATAGAATAAAAGGGAGTAGCACAGCTAAGGAAAAGGAGAAAAAAATGATGGACTGTGTTGTTTGGCGACCCCCGTGAAATGGTCGTTCGACCCCAAATGGGGTCCCGACCCACAGGTTGAGAACCGCTGATCTAGAGTCAACGTTTTCTGTTATTCAAGTCCCAGGTGTAATCAGTGTCTTTTATTGTTTGATCACTTGCTTTCTAACGTATCATATATACCAAATGTGTGCATCATTTGAGGAATCCTTGGTATGTATCATTTGTTTTTGTTCTCTATAAAAATACTTGATCATCCTTAATAAATGCTTTTTGATTTGGCTGAATTACTTGATGGTTCATATTTTCAGCTATGCAAAGAAGCCTCTTTACAAGGGTAAAAGTTTCTCACAAATTCAGGATTCAAGTTCTTACTAGCTCCACACCAAACTTGGGTGCCTGAGTTGAAGGCAACACTTCCAAATGAATTCAGAAGGGTTCATAACATAAAGAGAAAAGTTTAAAATGCTGCAAAATGCTCACTTATTCTTTGTTACAAAGTTTTGCCTCTTTTCCCTTTTATCTAAATATTAATACTGCAATGCATTCCAGAATACAAAGCAACTTCAGGCTAGTATAATATAACATTGCAATCCTTTGCTTGCTTGAGAAATAGAGGTTTCTGGGGGCAGGCCATGAAAGAATTACAATCTACCCCATCATCCTTGCCCTTCCTTTTTTCCCATGCAATAGCTGCTTTTTTTTTTTAAATCAAACTATGACAAAGATATTCTTCTTAATAAAGTTTTTTTTGAAATCACATGTACAATACAATACAATCACAATATTCCATGTTCTGACTTTTCAATAAGCTAAATGTCTAAACAGAAGTCTAAATATTTATAAACACTGTAAATCAGTTGGAGCATAAAGAAGGAAATCAGAAATTAAATATTTACTTACTTTTTCCAAGCAGTATTTTATTTATTTATTTATTTATTTATGAGACTTATATACCGCTTTAAGTGCAAGCACTCTCTAAGCGGTGTACACCAGTAAGCAATGTATATATATATATATTTACATTGCCCCCAACTGTATCTTTTTCACTTTTCTTTTTTCCTTTTTCCTTTTTTGTTTTTTCTCTTTTAACATTTATAAATAACAAATAATACAGAAGAGAGTTTAGTATTAAGTATTAAGTTCAAAGTTAGAAACCTTTCTCATATTATAAAATAATTGAATGCATTTTGTAACAGTTTATCAGTGGCATACTTAGTGTTAATTGTACAGTTTAAGTATCCTTATGTTCATTACATTTTAGAAACCATATTTAACATTGAAATACATGTTTTTTTAATCTTTAATGATTTAATCAATTTGTATCATTGCAGCGCTCACAATTTCTAGCTCAACCATCATTTACTCAGTCAGTATAACATATGGCCTCAGCTTAAAAGATGTTCATGATTTAAGGTTAAAATTAGGAATATACAATTCTATCCAATAGAAAACATATTCACCTCTTTTCATTTTTAGTAAGTATAATTCTTTGTTTTTTTTAATCTGTTTTCTTGTAATGGTATATAAGAGTAATTGTATTTGTGTGATAATGTTTTTTTTTCAAACAATTAGCTGGATCAATAAAATATAGTAAAAGTCCTATTGAGATAATTAGAACAATTGTAATGAGCTAGGAACTGAATATTTTTCAAGAACTATTGTTTGGTTTGTTCAAGATGAGAGCACAATTATTACAAAATAATATTTTCAGTCATGTTGTGACAGACACTTAGTTTTCCATATTGTTGTTTTGTGATTCCATCCAGGCTTATGGTATTAGTTGGTGACCATATTAGTCTTAAAATAAATGTGGTATAGTTGTTCTTCATAAAACAGTTGGTAAATTGACCCTATGCTGAATAGCTTGAATCCAGCTTTGATTTTCTTAAAAAAAGCCTCTTCCATGTAAACCTATTTGTACAAAGGCAGAATTAGTAAAGAAGGAGAAGGAGGGGGAGGGGAAAGGAAAGGGGAAGGAGGAGGAGACTCTTCAACTATCTTCTCTGTAAATAATCCTGAGCAAGTGCTGAAATTCAACAACTTTTTCAAAGAGGTAATAAATAATTAGCTTAGCTAGGCTGACTGTATTGATTTTGTTTAAAAGATCTCTGTGGATTGCTTGCTCTTGTTCCCCATCCATTTCCTCTCTCCCAATAAACTCTTTTGTTATATAGATAGATTTATTTCCACTGGTTTAAGAAGGGAATTTCTCACTAAGAGAGTTGCTATGTGCAACCCTCTTTCAGCACTGGCACAAGGTTTCCTGATCTCTATTTTGGGGCTTTGAATAGAAAAATCCAAAGCAACTTTGATACATTTTTTCCCTTTGCTGAAAAGACAAGTCCTGGCTATAAGGACTAAAAAATGTTTCAGTTGGACGGGCAAGAATGTGATAGAATATTCAATGTGACTTGTGGCATTTTGTCATAAGTGTCTTGTACCAGAGAACCATAAAAATAGCCTGGTACAAAGGTTTTAATTTCTCCCCAAATTCAGTTTTAACACATGAACTTTGATTTCCTTAATTAAACAACGTTTAACACAGAATGCTAAAAAGTTGATATCCTATTTAGGACTGTCAGTCAGTTAATTGGCTATTGCCTTTTTTGGTTATTGATATTCAAGAACTTTATTGTTTTATAAATGTATAATGTAGTCTGGGGAAATATTAATCCACATAGCTTAAGATGCAGAGGAGGAAAGCCAGAAAGGAGAGTTAAGAACAGTTGAAATTCCACATCCATATCTTTTTCTGCATATAATAATTTCATTAAGGATTACAATTACAACAGTAAAAGCAAATACAAACTAAAGAAAAAAAGATAGAAAAATAAAAAATTCACTTGTTGCTATCAGTCTTATTGCTCTAATAACTGAACAATAGTTAAAACCATTTTCTGAAAGTGTTTAGAAAAGGAAGTATGCAAACTTAATGTCCTTTCAAAGGCACCAACTACAGTTTGAACAAGATGGCTATTCCCTCATCTCCCAGGATTTAAACCTGCCAGAGACCTAGAGTGCTTGTGGGCAATCTTAAGTCTCCTCTTTGTCCAGGGGGGAATCAAAGACCAATAAAGGAGAATAAAGGAATCAAAAAGCCTGTGTATTTGCTGGTCTTCATTCCATTAGAGTCATTATCTTGGCTTTTTGTGGATCTATTTTCAATCTGCCATTTCTTCCTTTGGAAGCTTTGAAATTCTACACATGTATCCTGATATTAAGGACAGCTTAAATAATTTGCATAACATATAACAAAAATTCGGATTGTGGTTAATGTCTCTTTTCCCTATATTTTTCATATCTTTGAAACAAATACTAGCTGAAGGTTTGTGCTGTAATAACCAAAATTGCATTATTTACATGAAATCCTTGCCTTGCCCTGTCTTAATCACTCACCAAACTGTTTCTCTATTTACTTGAAAATAAATAATATTTAATTTAAACGAAGCTTTTTTTCTGACTAACATCTATAGGATTATACTGTACTAGTTTTTACCATTTTAACATGCAAAAGGGAGTTGAACAGTGTCCACAAAGATTTGGAGCCTGCATTGTTAAAGGTTTATGAAGCTGCTTATACAAATTGTTTTTTTCTGGAGCTACTTTTCAGTTGAGGACATTACACAATCCTCAGATGCAGAAACAAAGATACAATGAGTGCAGATCTTGGATTTTAAAAAATCTTTATGTTTTGCTTTCTTTTGTAACCACTCAATAATCATGTCTATGGAGATTCTCAGTCATCCAGGTCATGGTGCTTTTCCAAAAGGCAACTGGACTTGTTTTTTTTACCTTTGAAGACATTACACTTCTTATTCAAAAAGCTTCTTCAGTTCTGGCAAAGGAAAAACAGTGTCCAGTTGCTTTTGGGACATTCAGTCATCAATGAAGCAAATACAAGGCTGTCCTTTATTGCTATATTACACATATTTTTATTATATATATTTATACATATGTTACATATATGTATAAATCAGCTTTTGTATTGCTGTTATATTGGCACAGTGATAACTGAACGAATAGAACAGAGATTTTCAAATTGACTTGTGATGAGTAAGGATGTCCAGAAGATGATTTACCTCAGCCTCTCACGTTGATTGGTCAATGGTTGCTCAATTATTTTGTGACCCTACTAGCCATAAAGACTGTCTCAGAAATTCAAGCGGTTCATGTTCTCGAGTTTGGCACACTTGCAGGGCTTGACTTCTGCTCACTGCAAATCAGCTGGCCAAACCAAAGCCACTCATGGCCTCAATGACCATCTCCCACCTCTGGGAATAGTCAGCTGGCCAGACCCTGCTTCAGATAAATAAATCCTTACATTGTGTAATAAAAGGTAAATGGCAAAGGTTTCCTCTGCTCAGTCATGTCCAACTCCAGGGGGCGCTGCTCATCTCATTTTCTTAGCCAAGGGAGCCAGCGTTGTGCAAAGATGCTTCCATGGTCATGTGGACAGCATGATCATATGTGAGGCTCATGGAATGCTATTAGCTTCCTACATACC